CCGATCCCCTGTTCAGCAACATGACTTTAATTTCACTTATCAATTGGAAAGTGGAAGTTATGGCGATTTACCTAGCTCTGGCCAGGTTTGTCACTCTTATATTAGCTTCTTATCTTGTGAAATTCTACGGGGTTGTTCTTTTGCAACAAAACTTAGAAAAAAGTTTAAACTCGAGTTACAACTTTATTTAAGTTCATGTTCTTTTATAAAACTTGAGTTTGAACTCGAGTTTGAGGCTAAATTCGAGTTCAAGTTTCCTCTTCAATTCGAGTTCATAAACTCGAACTCAAGTTAATGAACAGTATTTTTTCTATTCTTAAAAATGTCATAATTTTTTCGTTTAAATTCTGATTGAGATGATTTTTTTTTTCTATGCATTCACAACAAAAAGACGAATAAAACCCCACTCATATACCCTATTAAAATTTTTCATCACCATTGAGTTTTTATTAAAATATTATATAAATACAAATTTAAGTTTTGACTCACCCAAATACAAACTCAAAAAGATTCTCAATTCAAATCATAACTCAAATATGCACATCCAAACACAAACTCAAGTTATAACTCAAACTCAACTCAAAATCATCACTCAAATCACCCTAACTCAAAAATGCAAAAGAACAACCCCTACGTTTCATGATATCATATGGTGCAAACTGGGTATGGTGTTTTATTTTAAGAGTTCTTGGGCAGGGCCAATGTTTTAGTAGGCTTAAATTTAAAAGTTAATATTCTGTTATCTGGATTCATTTAAAAAGATTGTTGTTTAAAGGAGGGGGAAAAACTACTAGATGATCATCTTAATTTTTGATATCTGACATTTCAATAGTTATTGGAATTGACCTGGATGCTTATGCTAAGTTTTCTCTGTATAATACAGGTTTTTACAGTTCCTGTAGCTCCTGGGGATGTTATAATCGCTGGGACGGACGGACTGTTTGACAACTTGTACAACAACGAGATTACAGCAGTGGTGGTGCACGCTGTGAGAGCTGGCTTGGGGCCTCAAGTAACGGCTCAAAAGATTGCAGCATTGGCACGGCAACGAGCACAGGACAAAGACCGGCAAACTCCTTTCTCCACTGCTGCCCAAGATGCTGGTATCCGCTATTATGGTGGAAAGCTTGATGATATTACCGTCATTGTGTCGTATGTCTCCGGTTCTAGTGATAAATGACGCTCTTGCTCCCTTTCTTTCTACATGTGTATATATAATCCACGTGATTCATGGCTATTCTTCTCATGTTTTTTGTAGAGTCAGAGACTGCTCTGGCGGTTTATCGTTATAGTAACACTCCTGTTTCGTTATTGTGAAAGCGAGAAAGTATTTAGTAGTCTTAAATTGCATGTTCTAGTACCTTGCTTTGTCGATATAAGGTCCTGGATCTCAATTGCACCTCAATGTTGACACAAATTTTGGTGTTATACTTAACCTTTTCTTTCGCTTTAATTTAGGACTTTTCAGTAACAATCGTTATATTTGATTAGGTATTGGAGGGCCACACGCAGTGTTTTTTTTTTTTTTTTTTTTTTT